CTGGCACGGAGCGCCCCCCACCCCCCTGGGCCAAGGGGGGTCCCCTCGGCGCCCCTCCCCCCCGCTGCCCCTCTCGGGGGCCCTCCGGCGGCCGCCTGGGGCCGCCGTGGCCAGCCCTGGGAAGGTCCACCCGGGGCCGGGACCGAGGCGGCGGCCCAATAGGCCAATAGGCCCCCCCGATAGCCCCAATAGGCCAATAGGCCCAATAGGCCAATAGGCCCCCCAGACGGCCCGAGAGGCCCCCCCAGAGGCCCGCAGGACGGCCCGAGAGGACCCCAAGACGACCGAGAGCGCGGCTTGACCGTCAGACCGTCGCAGGCTCCGCGCCCACCTCAGACCCCCGACGTCCCGAGCTCTGTCGCAGCGCCGACCCCCAGAGGTCGCGACCCCCTTCCCCGGGACGGGCCTCTCACCCCGCGCCGTTTGCGCACGGCCCCGGGGCCGGGCCGTTGGGCTCCACGGGGGGCCGCGCCTGGCGAAGAAGGCCTCCCGCCGTGCCCAGACATCCGACGTCTCGACCTTTTCGAATCGACCGGTCCCGACCACTTCCCCGGGACCAGTTTTTCCTCCCCGGTCGTTTTTTGCCGGCCCCGAGGCCCGGCGAGGGCCCCGCGGGCGGCCCCAAAAACTGTGCACGACCTCCACCTCGATCTGTTTTTCTCGAGGCGCGCCCGAGGTCTGGGGCGGCGCGAGGGGGGCCCGCGCTCGGGTTCGGGCTCGGGCTCGGGCTCGAGCTCGGGCGCTCGGGTTCGAGCTCGGGCTCGAGCTCGGGCTCGAGCTCGAGCTCGGGCTCGGGCTCGAGCTCGGGCTCGGGCTCGCGCTCGGGCTCGCGCTGGGGCTCGAGCTCGGGCTCGCGCTCGGGCTCGCGGCCAGGACCGCTCCCGCCGGCGCCCGGGCGCTGAAGATGCAGGAGCTGCTGAAGGCCAGCAGCAGCTGCGAGATCGCCGTGGTGGTGCCGCCGTGGGCCACCGCGGAGCCCCTCGCGCGGAGGGCCTCCGCCGCGCGGTCCGGCCAGGCGCCGCCGCGCGCGGCCAGGGCGGCGTGGCCGACGTGGGTGCTGTAGTCGATGCACAGGCCGACGGACATCATCAGGGGGATGAGCGAGATGGCGCTCAGGCTGGTGCCTCCCCAGACATCGGGCGTCTCGAGAAAGTCGGGACGGAGGTTTCTCAGATAGTTTTTGGCCTCTCGGGGCCCTCGCCGGGCCTCGGGACCGTCAAAAAACGACTCGGGATGAAAAACCGGTCCCAGGGAAGTGGTCGGGAGGTCGGGGGCCCGCGTCCCGAAAAAATCGAGACGTCGGATGTCTTGGTCTTGGTAGGCCCCACGATTTCTGAGGGGGAGGGTGGGGTTCGCTTCGCTCGGGAGCTCCCGAGCGAAGTGAACCCCACCCTCCCCTTCAGAACTCGTGGGGGGTAGGGGTAGGATTCGCATGTGGCCCCCTACGACCGACATCATCAGGGGGATGAGCGAGATTGCGCTCAGGCTGGTGCCTCCCTGACTCCAAATCCGCTATACTTTCTGGCGTTTTTTCCCAACTTGAGATTGCGTCGGGAATCCACCGATGAGAAGCCGCAAAAGTGGGGCGGAAATCTCTGCACTCAGCATATAAGATAGGGCGGAAATCAACACAAGTAGGGCGGAAACAGCAACAGAAAAGTATGGCGGAAATTGGCATCAGCGGGGCTTGAAAAGTAAGGCGGAAATTCCAAGCCCTACTTACGAATTTCCCCAAAGTAGGGCGGATCCGGAGTCAGGGCTGTCAGGGCTCGGGCAAGACAGCCTTTGCCGCTTTCGCTTCGCTTTCGCTTCCCCTTCGTCCGTCCTCGTCCCGCCCTCTGCCGCACAACGAGACCGAACCGCGGATGGTCCACGGAATCGCCCAAACACCGTTTAGCTCGCGCCCTAGAGCCTGTCAGGACCATCCAGCCGAGCATGTGCGTGCACGACGAGAGCACGCAGACAGACATGAGAACGGTGAACTTGAGACTCATGGAGAGCAGATTCACAACAACAAACACGGAAGCCACAGTATACAAAAGAGAGCTCAGCGTAAAGCCCATCATCTTGGCATCCTGCTCGAGGAATATGTCCTCTGGCGTGTAAGAGAACGCAGATCCCCCCAGGCCACTGGCAGCAATGGTTGCGCGCAACGCCAACATCGCACTCGAGTCATAGTGCTCCGCGAGGAACCGCATCCGCGTGGCCACCAACGACCCATTACCGATCAACACTCCCAAGCTAGCGTTGCTTCCCAAAAAGGCCCCCAGCTCCGTGACGTGCGTTGGCCCCCACTCTGCCATGCCTGGGAGAGCCATGCGACGGAGATGCTCGGAGAAAAACGATAGCCACAACGGCTCCAGTCCGCCGGTGGCGGACGACACAAAATGCGTGGCATTGATCGCCTGGTGAAGGCGCCAAATGTTCTCGCGCACATCGCTATTGGCCAGCGGAGCGACGGCGAGAGCGTCCACCACCGGCTGGTGCTGCACGAGGACCTCGACCAGCTGCGCCCTGCTCCTGAACAGCGCGCCTCGCTGCCGGAAGAACTCGGCCGTGTGCGACGCCTTGGGCGCGAGCTCGGCAACGTCCAGGCCTACGGGCAGCCGGCTGGAGGCCAGGGCCGAGGCGGTCAGCGTGACGGCGTAGGCGCAGACCACCAGGGCCCTGAAAGGACGCCACGCCAGGAGCCCCCGGCCCGCCGGCCCGCCCGCGCGCCCGCCCCGCGGCGGCGCCGCGCCGCCGCCGCCGCGCGCGGCCCGCCGGGGGGGCCGTGCACGAGGCACGCCTCGCTGACGGAGAGCGCGGCCACGAAGAAGGTGCACTGGAACAGCAGGTCCGCGGCCACGCACGCGCTGCAGTACACGCAGAAGGAGCGCAGCGCCGGGAGGGGCGAGGCGGCGCCCAGGGCGAGCGCCACCGCGTTGGTGGCGGAGGACACGCGTCGAGGGAGGGAGGGCGGCGCAGGCAGAAAGCTTCGGAGCTCCGCGCGGAGCTCCTGGATCGGCGCTGGAGGCCCCTGGAGACGCCTCTGGCGCCGACCCTGGGGCGCTCTGCGCGCCAGTGGGGGGGGGGGATCCGGCGCCGATCCAAGGAATCCGCGCGGACCTCTGGAAGTGTAGGTAATCATGTTCACGGCCATGGGCTTTTTTCAGCGTGTCGCCACGGCGGCCTCGGCGACACGCCATCGCCACGCCTTGCGAGCGGATGCTGTCTCTCCGCGCGGCGGGGCGGGAGGCTCGGAAAGGCTCGAGACGTTGGTGCTGGAGGGCGTGACGTGGACGGCGCGTCGCTCCAAAGCGCGGTGGGCCAGAACCGGCGGAGCAGCACGCTGTCCAGAGGATCCCGACCGCACGCCGACATCACTTGCGGAGGTCCGCGCGGCCTTCTGGGACCTGCGCTGAAGCCCCGTGCAGCGCCTCCAGCGCCGCCCCTGGCGCGCTCCGCGCCGCCACGGAGGGGGAGCCACCGCCGATCCAAGAAGTCCGCCTGGACCTCCGAAAGTGCATGCTCATGCAGCCCGCCATCGCTCGGACGTCCATCATCCCCGTGCCTGCTTCGCTGCCGTGCGTTTTTTCTCTGGCCTCCGAAGGATGCTCCGGCCTGCGCCTCGACGGCCCCAGCCGGCAGGAGTGCACACGTCCGAGCGATGCCAAGGCGCAGTGCTTCCTCCTTCGAATGAGGATGGTAGGTCCGCAGCTGCCCAGCGCCTCGCCGACCCTTCGCGCCGCCAGCTCCGCGCTCGCCGCCGCGCCCCCGTCGGCGGTCGCGGGCGGGGCCCCCGGCAGCAGCTCCGCCGCGGCGTCCAGGGCGCGGACCTGGAGCCCGGCAAGGGGCAGCGCTGGGAAAGCGACGGGGCGGGCGAGCAGCTTGGGGGAGAGCACTCCTCGTACCCAGACGTCGGGCGTCTCGAAAAAGTCGAGGCAAAGGTTTTTCACAGCTTTGGGCCTCTCGGGGCCCTCGCCGGGCCTCGGGGCCGTCAAAAAACGACCCGGGACGAAACACCGGTCCCGGGGAAGTGGTCGGGAGGTTGGGGGCCCGCGCCTCGAAAAAATCGAGACGTCGGATGTCTGGGTATCCCCAGACCCCCGACGTAATGAATTTTTCATTACGTCGACCCCAGAGTTCTCGACCCCTTCCCCAGGACCGGTTTGTCATCCCGAGTCGTTTTTTGACGCTCCCGAGGCCCGGTGAGGGCCCCCAGAGGCCGAAAATGACGAAAAACCTCCCCTCATGATTTTTTCATTGCTCGAGGGGGTCTGGGTATCCAGGGGCACCAAGATGGAGTCCGTGCCTTCGGCGAGGCTCCCCGGGGCGCCTGCGTGCGATGCCCTCCCCTGCGCTGCCGCGCCCCCTGTCGTCGCCCCGCCCGCGAAGCGTTAATTACACGGTCGGGCGCCTTGGCTCCGCGTGCCGCCGCGGCGGCCCTGGCGACACGCTGCGCCACGCGAGCGGCTGGCGTGTCGCTCCGCTCCGCGGGGCGGGCGGCTGGGAAGCGCTCGAGACCCAGACCCCCTCGAGTAATGAAAAAATCACGACGGGAGGTTTTTCGCAATTTTCGGCCTCCGGGGGCCCTCGCCGGGCCTCGGGAGCGTCAAAAAACGACTCAGGATGACAAACGGGTCCTGGGGAAGGGGTCGAGAACTCTGGGGTCGACGTAACGAAAAATTCATTACGTCGGGGGTCTGGGGACGTTGGCGCTGGGGGGCAGGGGAGTGGACAGCGTGTCTCACCGAGGCGTGGTGGGCCCAGAGCCGGTGGAGCGGCACGCCATCGAAGAGTTTTCCCCCGCAGGGGCAGGTGAGCTCAGGGGGGAGGTTCGACGTTCGCGGCTCTCGGGGATGCCTCCGCGGGCCCCCAGCTGGGACATACTGGTACTGTGTGTCCTCCTCGGAGGCGTGCGTCAGACCCGATCATACTTACATCGTCTCCCGAGCGGTATACGGCCAGAAAGCACCCACCACGGAGCTTCTGCTACGATATGTTTCGGTGCACGCGTC